TAAGCCTCTTTGAGGTATTTAGGATCATCCTCTGGGCTCTCAGAAATATCGGAAATATAATCCCTTCAAAGAAAATAACAGCCACCATAAATTCATAAATTGAGAAAGGAGAAAAATATAATATGTCCATTTTGCCTGGCACTGTGGTCTTGAGCAACAGAAAGCTATCGCTTTCTCTGATAGGCAGAGACACTTCTTACAGAATGCCTTTGCTGATGAATTGATGCAAAAGTAACAGAGACAGCTAAAGAGGCAGACAAGGAAAACAAGGAAGTGTTCATATTGCTTCCCCTGCCATGTAAGAACTGATGCCATGCTTCCAGCACCTTTCAACAAGTTGTCCCTTATTTGCTGTCAACGTAACTGACACTCATTTGATCAACCCTCCTTATCCTCACACAAAATCAAATTGCTGTATACCAAATATGTAGGAAGATTGTATTTCGGTAAATAGAAGCAAAAATTTGTGATCAGAGCATGCAGAAATCATTACAATATGTGGATAAATGTGTCAAAAATTTAAAAATTTTCTACCCTCCTCAATTCTAACAGAAGTTGCAAGGCAAAATTTCTATAATTTTTTTGCATTTTGGGAAGAATGAGAAATCATACCTTTTTCCTTTATTGTTAAGTTCTCATTTATTTTTTAATAACATTGAGGCTTAGTTATGGCTTCATGTTTTTCTCATTACAAGAGCTGATTCTATGCAAACCTATAAAAGACTCTCAGACACTTAAAAATCTTTGTGAATCACCATTTAAGGATCCAACTAGCATAGCTTAGACATTTCCTGATTTTTCAGTAATGCTTACACATATGCAAAAGTGATATTCCACAGTAATGCAGCATTAAAAGGAGACTGTGGGTTTCAAATGTTAGATTGTTGTACCCTTAAAAACTAGTCAGACATATAAATAGACCTAATGAAAAAGTCCCCCACCAGCCAATGCTTCTTCCAAGAAGCTGTGAAGATTTCTGCATACTTCATATGATTCTGTAACTTTTGTAATCTCTAACTGAAGTAAATAAAACTATTTCTCTTCCACATTTTGTTATTTATTTCTGCATGCATCCCAGATGACAATGGAGATGCATGCAGACCTTGCAGTCCTCTCACTATTCATTCAGCAGAGACTGGAGAGTAAGATGCTGTCAAAGACCTACACCAGAAAAATACTTCCTTTCATTTTTTTCTTTCCTTACTTTAGCTTCAGTAAAATCAAGATAAATCCTCCAAACACAGCCTACTGGGTATCCTGGAGTCCATTCAAAAGTCTTCCTTGAGGCTGTTTAGGTTGTTGCTTCCTGCTGTAAGCATTAGAGCATGAGGCCACCTTCAAGAGCTCCTTAGCAAATATTACTATGCTAAAACATCTCCTACTTCCTCAGATAAGTATGAAAAAAATAAAGAAAAAAAGACTTTTGGTTCACTGATCTCCAAGTATCACAACTTTTCATAAAGCATAAAGTTCAAAGGTCTATTTCAATGGAGCCCTTTACAACAATTTAATTTCTATTCTACAGCAGCACACAAGGAATGATGTGTCTATGCTGTCTCTTGGCAGCACTGATTATACTACATCTTTTAAACCTATTATCAGCTCAGACTGAATACTGATACCTTTCTGTATAGGTTGGCACAATTTGATGAGAAAATCACATTTTCCTGAATTTAAGTCAACCCACTGGCATTTTCTAGTGCATTGAGCTCTCACTGTCTCCCCAGGGGCACATTTGGGGGCAGAATATTTGTATCAGATAGGTCTAAGTGCAACTCCTCCCCACAGTTTCCTCACCCATTGCAGTACCTGCAGGCTGGACATGTACAAACTCTTACAGATGCCACCTTTGTGTGAGAAAGATCTTTCCTGAAAGAGGCAATATAGGCACTGGAAAAAAAAGATCCCATTTTGTCTGCCTGTTATGGTCAAATATCTTATCTCTTATACCTTTATACCACTGTCTCCCCATCTCTTCCTCCCTCCAAAATCAATCCTACAATGATTTACAGTTGCAGAGGATATTGTCTCTTTCTTATAACTCCATTTTTCCTTCAAGAAGAGATGAGAAAACTCCCAGCAGGATGAATGGAATATTAAACCTGAGCAGAGACAATGCTCTCCTGACAAAGTTGTCAGTGCTTCATCAAAATATCTGCCAACTACAGAAATTAACCTGTACGAGGCTCTGTTACTACGACTGCAAAATAAGAATTAAATTTGAAGAGTGGCTTTAGCAATACAAAATGTGAATTTACACAAATAAGTAAAAGCCATGCTACTCTAACAAAAACAACGAAGCCTTAGGTTAAAAAAAAAAAAAGAAAAAAAAGGCAACAAAAAAACCCAAAGCAGATATTTCATCTGCCTTCCCCTGAAACACAGATATATGGAGTTTCTGGCTATAGCAATGCAGGAGTGGAATAAAAGCATAAGTGCTAGATAAAAGCTGAAATAGGCTTCAACTTGAAAAACATCCAGAATAGGCATTTTTAAAGCCCATTAAGAAGACTAGACTATTCAAAATATCCTGAAATATTGTTCTGCACCTTTGTAAATGTTCAAACATTTCAGTCCCAGAAATTAGTAGCAAAAAGAGCAAAGTGGTTATCTTTTCTGTTCTTAGCCTCACTACAAGCTTTATTAGTAAAAGCCTAATCTCCATTATAGAATCACAAACTGAATTCAGCTGAAAAGATATAATGCATTTGGCCTGTAGCTCCTTTACACTCAATAAATAGACACTTCAACTGCTATGAAAATTATTTCAAGCCACATCTAGAAAGCACAGCCCACACCACAAATTACATTTCATTATAAAAGCAAGTGATTTTCTTCAGTTTTTAGGGCAAGCAATGTCATGACTTCAGATTTCTGATGTAGCTAACAAGGGCAGTATAAACCCAGATGTTGCTAGTATTGCAAGGAACTGAAGCTGACTTATTCATTGCTTCTGGTTTCCTTCAAAACCAAAAGTCCACCTTGAGATGTATTGGGATGATCGGATCTGCAAGAAATTAATCTTACTAGGATGAGTAAAGATGGCACAGACTGATTAGTTCTTACCACCTCAAAAGTCATTCTTCCCTACTGGGTTTTCAGTCAGAAACAAAGTGCTCAACTTTCTTCTATTTGTAGTACAGTTAAAAAATTTCCACATTGGAATGAAAACTAGCCAAATTTCTTCATTTGGAAACTAAATTAAATGATGATAGAGACCATGCTAGATGAAATCAAATGATGATAGCGACTTTTGACTGTCACTAAATCTGTGATCTACCAGGCCCACAATGACTCCATAGATGGCCAGACACATAATGTATACAAAAATGTGGCAATGTCCTTGCTAAGGTGAAACCCTCAATACTGGGTGTAAGACAAACCCACATCGACAGAAAACTGCCTGCAATCACTTTTGTTGTTGTTGTTGTAGTTGAGCAATCAATCAATCAAAGAATATGATTTTTTCTTCTTTAGTCACTGACAGACTATCATTTGTATGGACAAAACACGGCATATGAGTACAAATGTGTTTTAGCATTGCTTGTCAGTCCATATGCTCTGCATATGGATTACCATCCACAAAGTTCCCCTTCTAAGATGGACTATGATGCATGTGGCCAACAAGCATGCATAGTAAGAAGAGATCTGCTTACTGCTACCCAAGATCGAAACAGCAGATACGGCACCAAACAACTTGGCAGTAAACATTTGCTCAGGGAAAATGCATTGCTTCTGGATATCCAGGCAACCCTTTACTTGTCTCCTTACTGCTTCTCTGAGAGGGCCCTTCCTTGTTTTTACCCCAAAACCAAACCACTACATAGTCAGAGACATGAAACTTGATCCCAAATCCATCCCAACTCCAGCTAGCAATGCCCAGAATATAGTCTTACTTAAAAACTGGATGGATGATTTTGAGGGAATTAAAATGTAAGTGTTCAGGGATTCCTAAAAAGCATTAATTCTCTTAACAACCTAGCTATAGGTAAATTGAGGATAAAGAGACCTTTGGCAGTATGGATTAAAGCACCAGTAAGAAAACATCTTTTACAGAAAAGCCATAAATCTTCATGCTAAACAAGTGATTTGTGATCAAGCACTTGACCATAACACAGGCCACACGCCTCACCCAGGTGTCCAACCTTGCTCTGTTTGATCTATGAATCTTAACATAAGGCTCAAGCATTAAAGGCTTCTCATACTTCTTGATGGCCGTATTTAATTGCCTGCCTTAAGAAAACTGAAAAGCAGCAGTGTGTTTCCTTGTTATGGAAACACATCTGCTTGGATTCTGCCTTTCTTTTGTAGTTTACATTTTTCTGCTACTTTAATAGGATATTTAGTTTCAGAAATTCCAATTGCTAGGTACTTCTGTATTGTAATCTATTTACCTTTTAATTTTCTTCACCTTAAAATAAACATCAAATTGTCTGGGTTTCTTAAAATCTCACTAAAGTGGAAAAAAAAATTGTTGAGTTTTTACTTTCCCCCCCCTCTTTCTCTAAGAGTTAAATTGTTCTTTTTTCTTATTGAACCAAATTTTTAGTGTGCTCCATTGTAGCCATTTAATTTCTTCATTGATAGATCCCTGCTTTTGCACCCACAGAGTCTGTTCTAGCACAGGAGGGAGCCAATATTTCAAAGTGGACTGATAACCTTCATGACACATTCTCATCTCCAGATGCATTTTGCAGAATTCACCTGTTTTTTTGTTAGTATATTTTTCAAATTTATTTATAAATAACTGGACTTACAAGAGCAGAACTTCAACATGGAATTGTTAAATGTAATAGCATAAACATTCCTCCCTAAGATTTTGGTTTATTAAAATACATACTGAAATTCTCCCTAGAGCATTTCTTGCACCAAAGAAGAGTAACAGCTAATATTTTTCTTCTCCAAGTAAAAAAGAGCTGAGACTCTCCCCAACATTTGTAAGAGGTGGAAAACAGATAATTAGCTAGTTGGATTGAAGAAATAAAACATGAGCAGATGAGTATTTTCTAATCTTTACTTGTTACAGGCTTGGTCTTTCTGTACAATTGTTCCAAAGTTATATTACATTGTAAGAGGTAAGTCCAAAGCTTTGGCACACAACATACCACCTGCATTCAAATGAAATGTAAATTACTGTTCTGATTCATTCTGCATTCTTGCACAGTTATTGGAAAAAGTCTGAAAGAGAAGATAAAAGCAAAGTCACAACCTTTCTTTTGTATTCAAATGGTATCTCACATAGATTACAGGTTCCCCTTTTAGTGTTCATGACTTTCCAACCTACAAAACTGAATTAGATCCAAGATTCTTTGAAGGCACATCAAGGTTTCTGCAGAACCCAATCAGACTATTTCCCATCATTATTATATGAACTCACTCTGTCATGTTTTCTGAGTAGTATTTTAATTAATTCCCATTTATTTCATTCCTAAGATCCCTAATAAAAAGTTATTAATATTCAAAACTCTTCAACTTCAGGACATAGGAATCATTTATACAGCACCTGTCTTTTTTTAAAGGCTGTCTCCTGTCATTTAGATGAACATCTGCATACTAAAAGAGTTTTTGCACTTCCAACCCAAGAAGGCCCACAATATGCATGTTCTGCTTGTTTCTGTGAGTGCAAGAGTTTTAAAGTTCTCCATAATTTTCACTTGTTTATTTAAAATGTGTAGAGGGGGGAAAAGAAACAAAAACACCTTCAGGAAAAACCCAAACAAATGAAAAACAAAAATCCACAAAAGAGGTCAACAATATTTCACCTATAATACTAATACCTTCTGAAAAGCAAGTACATCATCTGTACCTATACTTAAAAACATGAGAGATTTAAAAAGGTAGATTTTTGTTCCCTGTGAGATTCCCACTCCATTGCTGCAGTGGGAAGCTCTAGTGTGGTGCACATGGGTGTGTTAGGGGAACGTCAGGGGAGCATACACACCTGCCAGGAGCTCCCAGCTTGTGCCACAGTGGCCAATGAGGCCAGGGTGAGGCCAGAAGCCATATCAACCAAGCACCCCAACCCTATAAAAGAAGTCTTTGGGAAGTGCCCATAGCCAGGGTGTGGTGTGTCAGCAAGGGCATGGATTGACACCTTGAGCAGAAAGGAGCACAGGAAAGGCACTGAAGGATAGACAGCTCAACAAGGAACACTTACCCACGACGGAGAAAGTCACTGCCTCACCAAGCTCTGCACCCACTATGACTGATCCAGCTGCCCAAACACACTGTAATCCAGGTTTATATTGGATATAATGCAAAATTTATTTATCAAGCTGCACAGGGAAGTGGTGGAGTCACCATTCCTTGATGTATTTAAAAATGCATAGCTGGCACTTAGGGATATCATTTAGAGATATACTTGGGGATGCTATGTTAACAGTAGGACTCAATGATCTTAAAGGTCTTTTCCAATTTAAATTACTCTATTCTTTGTAGCCTTTTGAAATGCAGCATTTCTCAGCAGCTAATAAATAAATTATCTTTCATATCATTCTCTGCCTTCAGATTTTGCAGGTTAGGATGTAAATCTTCAGGGATGAGAATAGAGTAGTTCCATACATCAGTTCAAATCTCCATAGCCTATACTGAAATGACATGTTTTCCACGGACCAGTTCATTGTAGCATCCAAGCATTTTTCACATTCTCTGAATTTATAGACCATTGGTTGCATAAATAGTGTCCAATCTTTTGCTCACTTTCCAGAGGAATGGCTACAGAATGTTTTATTTTAGTGGTGCTTGGATTTGGATTTTCTTTAGTGAGTGGTGCTGAATTTTAAGCCCTGCTCATGACTAGTTCAAAATATTCCTGCACTGCACTGGGACAGAGCCAATCTTCCTCCCCTACACTCTTGTAGAAACCTCTGTTTTATCTGAGCCAACTTCCGGGACAAGGTTTCCACCTTGAAACACAAGGTATCAAGGAATGGCTTTGAGAACACAGTCTAGACAGTGCTGAATGCCAGCTTTGTCTTGACATTCTATGGGAAGCCAATGATCACATAAAAAAGCTGGTCTGATGTGCACTTGGAGAGCTAACTCCTTCACAAACATAAATGCTATTACCTCAGCTGGGTAATCCATTCCTCTGGATGGGAAGAGGTGGGGGGTTCTGGAAGAGACTCATGACAGAAAACATTAAACACTATTTTACAGCATCTGCAGAGCCACAAATGTGTCTGCTACCAGATTCAATTACAGTAATCATCCCGAAACACCCCGCACTGGAAAAGCTAAACACACCATCTCCTGTTCGAATGAGCCAGGGAAGAGAGATATTCTGCTGTCACTGTGCCTGTTGTCTAGCCAGCCTTTTCATAAGTAATTTACCAAGAGCACTTTATGCATCCTAGGATAAGGGCCAAGCACCATGAATGTCAGTGTCTACTGACAAGGTAGATAATGCAATGCCTTTTATTGGGCCAAAATAAAATATTATGCTTTAGCTTTCAGGTCAAAAAAGCTCTGTCTTTTGGATGTTGTATTTCCAGAGTATAGCATTAAAATGAGGCAACTGATTTAAGGCATTTCAGCAGTTCAACATCAATCACATCTTCCGGCTGCATCAAAAAAAAAAAAAAAAAAGCCTGCTAGGAGAAAAAGACACACAACATGTCTGCAGGCCCTATTTCCTCTTTTAGAGAACCTGTCGTGATATCTCTAACCTAAAATAATTTTATGCTTTTATTCAAAAGTGTTACACAGCCTGTGTAAAAATTGTCAAACTAAGGATCAGGTGTGGAGATACACAAGGAGAAATTACACTGCCTAATTAATTTGAAAGTGGCTCAGGAAACCTGAAAAAGAAGCAGAAGATTCTTAGAACATCTTCCAGTGAAAGTGACGAGCATTGAGAGAAACAAAGTAGACAGAGAAAGAAGCACTAGAGCCGCATTTAATTTAATATAAACTAAGCTAGCTAGAGGAAAACTAAAAAAATTAATCAGAAAAAACAAAAACAAAGACAAAATTCCTGTGGGCCTACTGCCCTGATCTAAGAAATTAGTTATCTGAGTAACATGACAAATTTCTTATGCATAAGTAGCTTTTTTGGTGAAGATGCATTAAAGATCAGATCATACTGTCAGTAAAGATTCAAGGATGGGAAATGCAAGAGTAAAATTTTAAAATTTCCAAAATGGTGCTGAAAGTATCTTGATTGAAACTTTGAAAACTATAATCATCACAAGTATAGATGAAGTTCTTACCTGTCTTATCCAGAAGAGTAATATAAAATGGCAAATTGCCTTCTGAAACAGTGCATAAGAACTGCAGAACCTGAAAAGAAAGACCTTCTGTTAAGAGGCTGAGCTAGGCAAAGAAGCCGAGACAAAATGCTGACAAGGGTCCCCCTGTAACCTCTCAGCAAAGCTGCAGCTGGCCAGGAAAACTGGATCAAGGGCTTACATTCCTCCTTTGTCTGAAATCCCTCAGCCTGTGAATAAACAGCTTGCCTTAGAAAAGGATTGCTCTTAGGCCTTCAGTTAGTAAGATGTCTCAGGCTGTTGTTCCATATAATTTCATTTGAAATTATTTCAAATGAAATTTCATTTCATTCACTGATGCATCTTTGGAGAGATAAAAAATCATTTAATTATTAAAAAACTCTTAATGCTACATATGAAAAAACAATATTATTCTCATCCTACTTCATAGTGACCAGTAGCTTTCACTGCTTTATGATCCATTTAATGCTTTCACATCTCTTGCAGTATTGTTCCCAAATCCCTTTCTCCTCTCACAAGGCTTAATTTAACTGCTAACCCCAAGATGATGACAAATCACTGTACTTTTTAATCCTTTTTTCAATGGCAAATTTGTACTCTCTATGCTAAAAGATGGTAATAAACATTCTTTAAACAAGTTTCTTTAGTTCCCAGTATAATGGAAGAATTACAGCTAGCAATATGCAGTAGCTTTAAAACAATTATGTGAGGACACTGGCTCACCACTACCTTGGCTTAAAAAGATTTATGGAACCCTCAAAATCAGGAAACTGCTTAACCTGTGCTATACAAAGGGCAATTTTATTCCTTGAATACACAAGAACATTCTATTTCTTTACAACGAAAGGAGGAGATGTAGTTAACTAACATCTTAGACTCAAAAGTCTGTCGCTAAATTAGAACAAATTAGGAAATGTAATGCATCTAAACAATAGTTGGTTCTACAAAATTTCCTATTATTTGAAATAAGTTATGAAGTACTTTCATACTAGCAAACTACCAGACATTTTTTTCTTATTTTCTTATAATAGTCCTTCTGGTATTACCTAAATGTTTTCTAATATATTACTCATGTTGTCAAAGTGTTGATAACAATTAGCAAAGCAGCATTACAAACAGTATTCTTTGTTTTGGTGGTTTTTTGGTAGATTTTTTCACCCAGATGTTGTGAATCTTTTAAAAGACAAAAGCAAAAATCATAATCTGATAAAATGAAAGTTTCAAAAGAAGAAAAGGGAACATCTTCAGTTTAGACAGCCAGATTTTCAAATAGAACAGCTTTTCTGCTGGGAAAATCATTGGGAGATCAGATGGTTCCAATGATTTTGGTAAGGCTGCCCTTGATCTAACTGAGAATCTGCTCCAATTTCTTAGCACTGGGTAAAATATGAGGACATGCAATATCCTGTTCTAAAAAGGTGAAATAATTCTTAGTCCACATGAAAAAGGTGTATTACATTAAAAGAAAAAGCATTTCCCATATAGTCTCTTCTAAAGATGGCATAGAAACATTTCTAAACTTCTTCATAAAACAACATGATTATGTACTTGCACAGGGGCTCAGTGCCAGAATTTAGGATCAAGTTTAGATACTCTGTAAAGATAATATACACCCTTGCAGACCCAGCTCTCAAAATTTCTCATCCTCATCCAAATATCCAACCCTTTTTTTTTTTCAGGGATGCCTTTTAGAAAGATGATCCTTAACTTCCTCAGCACTTTGAGCATTCAGTGTTGATATAGTCTTGAGGAACATGTCAAAGTACTTCAATTTAGAAGTAAGCATCTTTTAAATAGATTTTTAAATGGATAGGACTTGAAACAAGCTAAACAAATAAGTGACAAATGCTGATTTCTTAGCATTTTCACATTATATTTTATGCCTTCTTGATCAGACATGTCTATCAAATACTGATTTACAGAGTTTAGTGAATTTCTGTCAGTCAGTGACCTATGAAATACAAATGAACAGATGGGATCCTGTCATCTGTTGTTACACACCATGAATCTCATTATCAATTATGTTCCTGGTCCTAACTTTAGATGTCTACAAAGTGGGTTTAAAGCTAAATTTCAGAATCCCATGTTTGAACCTTTTTTGTATACATGAAAATATCAACTGTATTCAGCTGCCCTTCCTGAAAGTCTGACATTTCTTTCATTGGTAACAGTGAAGCACTGAAGTTTTGAAAACAGCAGAGACAAAGTCAGTGTGAAACTCCCCAAGGAACAATAGAGTTTTGCACCAAATGCTGTACTTGTTTCAATTCAAGCCCATTATACTTGGGAAAACAAAAGTTTTCCTATTAAGTGGTTTAGATTAAGGTTATACCAGTCTGTAAAATTCAATAGATGTTACTATTTCCTGGTAAATTATTTTTAAAAACAGTTTAAATCTGCTCCTACTAAGATTACGTGACAAAAGTTTGCATTTCTTAAAATAAATTGTACAAATACTCAGCTTCCTGAAAGTTCCATCTGTCAAAAAAGCAACAGTTTTCTACAGGATATTTGATAGTTTATTAAAATTACTGAAACTCACCTTGGAGAAGAAGATAGTTTTACTTTTATATGACTGTTCAGTCCTTGCTACTAAAACACTTGAGAAAGGGAAACAAAATAATAGATATTCCAATCTGCTGAAGTTCTCAGATTTGGCTGATGACTTGCTCTGAAACTTACTGTCTTTTTCTGAACAGTCCTTCCCTGGTTTATGATAAATTTGTATCCTTCCACACACAGATTCAAAAGCTCTGCCAAAGTTACTTTTGCCTGTATAGTATTCCAAATCCTCTGTCTATCCCATGTGCCTGCCACTCATGCTTCTGAACTTAGCACCTGGTGGACATAAAAATCTGTTTGATGAAGTCAGAGGCGCAGCTCTTCACCTTCATGAATGTGTGACAGCAGCTTTCAAGGTAATGAAACACAGCTCACTTGACAGACATCACAGTTTTGGTACTCACATTAAAAAGTGATTCAGTTTCCACGTCTTCAGAAAGCAAACATATGCTTTCAGTCTGAACAAAATTAAGTTTGCTTTTGGAGAAACATTTAACAAGAGTGAAGATTCCACTGTTTATCTAGTTCCTCTTGTGACAGTGCAAGGATGCTGAAAAGAGGAAGGAGAGAGGGAAATACTCTGCTCTGTAGTATCAGCAGTGCCACTTGGCTCTTCCTGAGACAATTAAGTCTTTTCATCTTTTAGAGATATAATTGCAAATAAAGCTCTCTCTCTTATGCAACTAAGTATTCTACCTAAGAGGAGTCTGGAGATCACTCATCCATGCAAGGTTCATAGAAAAAACTGGGTATACAATGTGTAACATTTGTCAATACTACGAATAAGAAAAAAAAATCCAAAATAGCTGTGGAAAATATTTATCTGCTTAGCTAATAAGTTGTATCTATCTCCACAGAGAAGATTTTTGGTTATCTAAACAAATAGGCTTCTTATTTCTGTAGAGACTTTAAGTCATGGGACATACATACCAAGTCCATTTCATAGGTTTAAGGCTATTTTAAAAGTCAGACTATGCACACTTTTTAGAAATGTTCCTCAAAACAGCGCTGTAGTCACAAGTCTCAGAGCACACTAACTCTTCTTAAAGCAGCACTCTTCTACAACATGTTAAAAATAATTTAAAAATTATTAGTAAATTAGTAAATATTGCAAATGCAATATTTACTAATATTTGCTTTTTATATGCCCAAATACACTATTTTATGTCTTATCTGTTCAGTACACTTCTGTATTCTCACTATCACAAATTTTGAGTTCACATTCTCAGTATTAAGTAGCACTCAATACATAAAGTGCATGAAGTAGAGCAGTGCAAAGGCAATAAGATGAATGAAGAGGCAATACAAAGACAAGGAGCATGCCAGGAATTTTGCTGCCTCCTTCAGACATAGTTGTTTACTGTTAAATGTGCTCAACAGAAGTGCGGTTGTTTTACAGCTCTGACATAAAAGCAAAATCTTGATGACTTTGTTCTACTGGTAACAAATGCAATGTGCAGTAATTACCAAATTTAACTGAAATTTTCTACTGCTTGACTATCCAGTGAGCAGCTCAACAAGTTAATTATGTTTGGAAAAAACTGCAATACTCAGAAATACATATTTCAACTGTTGTATGCCTATGTAAACAAATGTACTGATGGATATTTTTTCCATTCTGTAATTTAAATGGTCTCTGGTATAGTCTGGTTTTTTTTTTTTATCTTAATAATTTTTGAGATTAAAAGTTTACACCTATTTGGTGTTCTGTAAAGATCTTTTGGAACAGAGAAAAGGTGGCTGTAGGCATCAAATTGCTTCAAAGATGCAACTATTAATCAATTGATTTGAACACAGGCCAAGAATATACAGAGGCTTGTAAATTATTATGCAGAGGCTCAAAAGAATTATACATTTGGTGATGATACTCAGTAATAATATACAGAAATAAAAAGAAAACACTACATAAGTGTTTCAACTGCAAAATTGATATTTTGCAATTATTATAAAGAAAGCTAATCCTTGTATCAGTTTGATTTTTGTACCATGTTAGATATCATGAGAGAAATTTTGACTCTTAATTGAAGGAAATATGTTCCCTTAACCACAACATGCAGAAATTTGAAATTGTTTAGATTGCTTGTTTTGTTTTTAGACTACAAATTATGAGAAAAAAATTACATATAGCACAAGCACTTTTAAACTGTCTCTAAATAGATGAATATAATGAATTTTTATCTATGGAGCCAGCAGTAAAGCTTCAACTTAGAGAACCATGACCCAAGAAATATAAAAGCACAAATCCATTCTAGATGAAAGACCGATCACTGCAATTTTCTGTTCTGCCTTTTTCAAAGGGAGAAATAGTATTTAAACTTTTTGTGGCTGAGAAGTAATTTTTTCAATCAGAAAATAAAATCTGAAGAGTAGATTCTGCAGCACAATGAACTATTGCCATGTTTAACATGAAAACATCCTTTACATGCAAGTGTTTTACACATAAAAGGTGGTTACAAATGGTGTGACAGAATAATAAATTACCCATTTTAAACTAGGGCAATCACAGTGGAATTTGAATTATATAAATATATAGTGTTTATATACATATAATAGTGTT